AATTGAGAGAGAGAGATGGAGTTTAGGAGGGGAAAAGCAGCTTCCACCAGGGAGTGATCATGGAAGGGGACCCAAACATGGAGTCCAAAGGGGTGTGGAAGAAGGGGACTTTTAACCCTTCTTTAGAACTTCCGCTGGGGTGATTGACTCTTAGTTTCTTCCCTCACCTGAGAAATTTAAACATAAACCGTTAAATCTCCCAGATGGAGAGACATGGGAGTAGGGCATGGCGCTGGGAAGTTCTTGCCCTTAAAACTACGCCCCTCTGTGGACCCAGAAAGAGAACACATTCTCTCACGGGGAAACTGATTTTGGACTTCTGACCTTCAGAACCATTAAGTGATAACAAATTTGTGTTATTTGAAGGCACTAAATTTGTGGTGGTTTGTTACAGCAGCAATATGAAACGAATACAGACTTTAAATGTCATACATAACAGCTATTCTTAGTCTTAAGTTCTCCCCAGTCAGGTTTTGGGAAGAGCAGTGGGCCTGGTGGGCCTGGGGGAAGCAGGAAACACTTATTGGTGATCTGGATTGGGAAATTAGGAAATATTTTTGGTGGTCCAAGATTAATTTTAACACCTCAAAAGAGCACAAGTGATTAATTTGAGAGGCAGTTAGTACTATAGGGTTGAGCTAGGGCAATATCATGTAGTTATTCAGGAAATCCTGGGCTCCCTCTAAGCTGCTGCTTGCTCTTACTAGTGGTTAAGACCATTGGTTGAGATCCCTCCCCACCTTTCATAAATAAAAGGCTATCCCAGCTTCCATAATGGTCTTGATCATGCCCACTGCCAACCATTCTTTGAGTTATAAGTAAAATACTCTTGGATTCTTTTTGGATTGAACTGGGGGTTATGCATGAGGCCAGATTCTTTTTTGTGGCCCACAAAAAAGAAGCCTGAAATTTCCTTAGTTAAAGTATTTGTTTTAAATTGTTAACAGAAAGCTTTTTTTTTAATAAAAAATTTCAATTCTTTCTTTTGCATTTGAACATTTTCTTCTCTTCTGTGAAAACAAAAAATATTTGGTAATCTTCTGTGGTTTATTTGAAAATTACAGTTTTGCCTTTTTGTTTTCTAGCCAATTGATCTAGAATTTTTTTTTTTTTTTTTTTTTTTAACTGGTGTGTGTGTGTGTGTGTGTGTGTGTTGACAGAATCTCATTCTGTCCCCAGGCTGGAGTGCAGTGGTACAATCTCTGTTCACTGCAACCTCCGCCTTCTGAGTTCAAGTGACTCTCCCGCCTTAGCCTCCTGAGTTAGCTGGGACTACTGGTGTGTGCCACCATGTTAGCTAATTTTTGTATTTTTAAGTAGAGACAGGGTTTCACCATGTTGATCAGGCTGGTCTTGAACTCCTGACCTCGGGTGATCCACCCGCCTCGGCCTCTCAAAGTACTGGGATTACAGGTGTCAGCCATGGTGCCCAGCCAGAGTGTGTTATTTTTTAAGTTGTTAGGTACTTTGTGTTTCTCTTGAACCTTATGCAGGTGCCCTCTGATCCTTTTAATCTGCAGTTCTCTGAACTAAATCTAGATATTTATTTTCATCATTGGGTCTAGTCAGTGATAGAAGAGTACCTTTGATAAATGGGGGATAAAGTCCCTGAGTTAATTTGAATGTTGATTTGAAATTGATACAGTTGAAGTACAATTTGGCATTAACTTTGAAAGAAAATCAGCTGATTAATAATGCAATACAATACTTTAGATATATTACTAATAATCTCTGTTAAAGTGAAATGACCTTTTCAATCTAAAATTTTTTATTTTAAAATACATTCTTTTGGAAGTGATTTTGTTCCATTATTATTCAAAAATAATCACCTGCTAGGGCTCTAAAATGTAATTACAGGATCTCTGCCTTTGTTGGGGCACAATCTCTGTGCCTTTCTTTGGTTTGCCCATAAAATGCTTAGAACATTGAGTTAAAATATTGTCAGTGCACCCGTGTCTACCAAACAGTGCATTAAAATACAAATTAATAAACAACAGTTTCAATGTAAGTTCTTCTTGGCAGAGATTTGGATGTTAAACTTCGTAAAATCTATTTTGTTAGGAATTTTCAAGGAATTATAATCTGGGGATAAAACAAAAATATGGACTCTATCTACATAATCAAATATCCATTCAGCAAAGTGTACAGGTGGTTAAATATTTCTAACAACTACTCTCTGATTACGGATCAGTTTTCAGTGAAGTAGCTATCAGAAAAAGCATTAACAGTTTTTAATTTTTTTTCTTTCTCAGTTGAGGTAAGAGTAAGGGAACAGGGGCAAACTGCTTTGAGCTCTCTTTAAGACCATGCAGATATCTTTCTCTTCATCAGACTTAATTGTCTAGATTGAACATGTGCTGCTGATTTTTTTTTAATATATGGAGTTTCGCTCTGTTGCCCAGGCAGAATGCAGTGGTGCCATCTTGGCTCACTGGACCTCCGCCTCCCGGGTTCAAGTGATTCTCCTGTCTCAGCCTCCTTAGTAGCTGGGATTACAGGCATCTACCACCACACCCAGCTAATTTTTGTATTTTCAGTGGAGACCATGTTTCGCCATGTTGGGCAGGGACACAGCCACACCATATCTCTAGGATAGCTGACAGGAATCTGCAAATGAAAGAGGTCGTAGATTGATTATGGTTCCAGATGGCACAACTGCAGACTTTGGAAAACAATGAGATGGAGTTTCTCTTTGATTAATATTGTATTTATGTATATACACATATGTATAATTTGGAGGTAGTACTGGGGTCTCTGTACATTATATATATATGGCAAATCCTCAAATAATGTCCTTTTGTTTAGTATAATTTTGTTGCCACTTTGATCAGAAAAAGAAATCAATTCCTAGCTGGGGCCATTGTCTCTGTGGGGTTTACACATTCTCCCTATGTCTGCATGGGTTTTCTCTGGATTCTCTGCTGTCCACTCACATCTCAAAGATGTCCATGTTAGGTGAATTGGTGTGTCTACATGGTCCCAGTCTGGGTAAGTGTGGGTGTCTGGGAGTGCACCCTGTGTGATGAGATGGTGTCCTGTCCAGGTCTAACCAGGTCTTTCTGCCTTTGGTAAATAATTATCTTATTTGATTTTATTAATCTTTCCTAACTGTATGTATAGCTCACATTTATTTCGGTGTTTTATATTAGAAGTGTTTTGGTCATTATTTAGAAGCTTGGTGATATTTTTGTGGCCGGAAATATGCTGTAGGAACTTAGCTCTTATTTATATCAATTAGCCTGAGTAAAATTGGTTTCATTATATGTTGTTTCATTTAAAGTTCGACTTTCTAAGAAGTTGCACTTTCTAAGAACTTATGAATGATGTTAAGTGAGGACCTACTGTATATAAATGAATATATTACTATACGAATATATATGCTTACACACACACACACACACACACACACGTAGTCTAGTAATGGATTAGACCTTAGTAGGGAGTAAATTTCTGGTCACCAAAGGTATTTAAGCTGAGGTTGGAGGGATCTCTTCCAAGAAATAGTATAAACTGTATTTCTTTTTGAATTCATTCATTCATTCACTTCTTATGGAGCCTTTCCTGTGTGTCACACACTGTTCCTAGTATGGTGAAGACAGATAAATACCGGGCAAGAGGTTGGATTAAAAGACTTTAAAGACCTCATTATATCTGTGGTTGAAAGAAGTTGCTTGATGCTTTGGTGTCCTTTATCTTAAGTGCGGAGCTCTGCTTGTGTATTACCCACTCTGTGTTTTAGATACTCTTGTGTGTTCCCATCACATGTCTTCTGTGATGTGGAGTAGTACTTTATGTCATCCCCTGAGAGGCTGTAGGCTTTAACATCATGTGTATGACAGTATTTATCTCCGTACCCTTTTTTTTTTTTCCTCTGAGACTCTGTAACCTTGGCTGGAGTGCAGTGGCATGATCTTAGCTCACTGCAATCTCCTCCTCCTGGGTTCAAGTGATTCTCCTGCCTCAAGCTTCTTGAGTAGCTGGGCTTATAGGCACTTGCCATTATGCCTGGCTAATTTTTGCGTTTTTAATAGATATGGGGTTTCGCCATGTTGGCCAGGCTGGTCTCGAACTTCTGACCTCATGTGATCTGCCTGTCTTGACCTTTCCAAAGGGCTGGGATTACAGGCATTTTTAGCCATTGCTCCCAGCCATCTCCCTACCTTTAATGAAGAGGTTAAAGTTGAATGGGAAGTCAGCTTTTGATAGAATAATGTTAGTTTTTCATGGGAATTAATTAAATTAAATTTAATTAATTAATAAAATTTAATTAAATTAATTAATTAATTAAATTCCAGGCTAGGTGAATAGGTTTTTCAAGATTCAGGCTGGGCGTGGTGGCTCACACTTGTAATCCCAGAATTTTGGGAGGCCGAGGTGGGCGGATCACAAGGTCAGGAGTTCAAGACCAGCCTGGCCAACATAATGAAACCTTGTCTCTACTAAAAATACAAAAAATTAGCTGGGTGTGCTGGTGGGCACCTGTAAACCCAGCTACTTGGGAAGCTGAGGCAGGAGAATCGCTTGAACCTGGGAGGCGGAGGTTGTAGTGAGTAGAGATAGCCCCACTGCACTCCAGCCTGGGCAACAGTGAGAGACTCCATCTCCAAAAAAAAAAAAAAAAAAAAAAATTCAAGATTTACCAGAAAGTACAAGAGAACACAATCAGTGCTTTTAAAATGTAAGGTGATATTATTTATTAACATTATTGGAAGTTCACTACACTGAGAACATATATGGAAGAGCCTTGTTCCAGAGTTATGCTTTTATTTTTCTGAGGGAAATTATGCTTCCTGCATACTAAGATACTGAATGTTCAACTTCAATATTTGTAAATTGACTATGTATCTGGACTAATTCTATTTCTTTCTGTAGAGATCAGATAGTACCATGAAAAAGCAGAGATGCCAAGAACAAAGTGTGTAGATTTGGAGGTAATACTGGGGTCTCTGTACATTATGTCCTGTCAAGTAAGGCCAGCTGTTCATTTGTTTCATGTCTAGGTTTGGAATTCACCCAGTTGCAGGCCGAATGCCTGGTCAGCTTAATGTGCTGCTGGCTGAGGCTGGGGTGCCATATGATATTGTGTTGGAAATGGATGAGATCAACCATGATTTCCCAGGTAAGTGATGGGGCAATGGTGAAGTTTAAATATTCTTACTATGAATAAAGCAGTGCCAGATTTGGGATATAAATTGTAGATTCAGTGAACACTGACTAGTCAGATGAAAAGGAACTTGTACATGGTAGATATGCAGTCAAAATTAAAGAAGTGAAAGACAATATTGAATAAGGTACAAAAGAGTCATGAACAGCACAGGTAAATTTTTCTCCTCTGTGAAGAACTGAAAGATGGTGAAAACCTTGGGGTGTAGTGCAGAAATGTTGAAGATTGGGGATCTGGGCAGCCCTGGCTTTTGCATCCAGATCCTAACTCTCAGTAGCTTGTTACTCAACCTCAGACTCTTCATTTATGAGTGCTTCTGTTGATAATTGTCTGATTCTTGCCAGTTTCTGAGATTTTACTGGTTTCCAGTTGTACTAATGTATGACTGGTGAAGTAGTTTTCTCTTTCTTTTCTTTTTAAAAAGTACTAGAATTTCCCTAGATAAGGTGCTCTACTTTATAGCTGTCATAGGGCAGATGTCGAATGGTAATGACATTTGGCCCAAGCTTATGTTTGTTAAAATTAAACCACTTCCCTCTGGCAAATATCCACTGTAAACTTAAGAAATGCTGTTTATTAGAAAAAAATAATGAAATTGTTTGTATGTTTAGATTCACATGGCATTTTTTGGCACTATTTTAATGTAGTTTATATTGCAGTTCTTAAAGAGAGAACTTAGGCCATTTTAATTTTATGTCCCTTTTCAGGTTCCACTGTTATTAAATTATGTGTAATGCTAATCAGTTCCAGGAATTATGGACATGGCTTTAGTGAGGATTTTGATACCATTGTCTATTAGACATCAGATTGTATCTTAAGGAGTTATTTTATTTTTATGTTTTTTTTTTAACTTTTATTATAGATTCATGAGTACATGTGCAGGTTTGTTACCTGGGTATATTGTGGAATGCTGAGGGTTGGAGGTAGTGAGCATAGTACCCCACAATTTTTCAACCCTTGCCCCTGTCCCTCCCTCCCCACTTTGGTAGTCTCCAGGTTCTATTGTTGCTATATTTATGTGCCTGAGTACCCAGTGTTTAGCTCCCACTTATAAGTGAGAATGTGCGGTATTTGTTTTTTTGTGCCTGTGTTTATTTGCTCAGGATAATGGCCTCCAGCTGTTTCCATGTTGCTGCAAAGAACATGATTTCCTTCTTTTTTTATGGCCTTATAGTATTCCATGATGTATACATACCATGTTTTCTTTATCCAGTCCACTGTTAATGGACACCTAGGTTGATTCTATGTCTTTGCTACTGTGAATAGTGCTGCAATAAACATGTTAGTGAATGTATCTTTTGGTAGAATGATTTGTTTTCTTTTGCATGGTGGGATTGCTGGGTCATATAGCAGCTCTAAGTTCTTTAAGAAATCTTCAAACTGCTTTTGACAGTGGCTGAACTAATTTACATTCCCCTAAACAGTGTGTAAATGTTCCATTTTCTCCACAGCCTTGCTAGCATCTGTTATTTTGACTTTTTACCAGTAGCTGTTCTTACTGTGTGAGATAGTAATTTCATTGTGGTTTTGCTTTGCATTTCTCTTATGATTAGTGATGTTGAGCATTTTTTCATGTTTGTTGACCACTTGTATGTCTCCTTTTGAGAAATGTCTGTTCATGTCTTTTGCCCATTTTTTAGGTTTTTTTTTTTTTTTAATTTCCTTGTTAAGTTCCTTATAGAGTCTGGATTTTAGACCTCTGTCCAGTGTATCATTTGTGAATATTTTTTCTCATTCTATAACTTGTCTGTTTACTCTCTTGATAGTTTCTTTTGCTATGGAGAAGCTCCTTAGTGTAATTAGGCCTCACTTGTTAATTATTGTGTTTGTTGCAATTGTTTTCTGAGGACTTAGTCATAAATTTTTTCCAAAGGCTGATGTCCAGAATGGTGTTTCCTAGGTTTTCCTCTTGTATTCTTATAGTTTGAGATTTAAATGGTCATTTTAAAGGGTGAAAGTGGAATGCAAATTTCATAAAATCATGTGACACTATAGCAAGATCATTTTGAGATCATAAAAGAGTTATGAAGTCAGATTAGGTAGATTTATTGAGAGGGGAGAAGCATAATAATTCAGGGTGTAGTCAAGATGGTTAAGTTCAAATGCAAGACCTACTGCTTTTTAACTGTGTGACATTGGCTGAGTTGCTTAACCTCTCTGATAAAGTTCTTTGTACAGTGCCTGGCACAAGTGCAAATCTATATTTTTATTGTTATTATAAAGTAAGTTCACTATAATTTGTCTGAAAATATGTAAAAGTGACCCTTTGAGTTTTATATTCTTTCTTTTTTCTTTAATTATATAGATACTGATTTGGTCCTTGTAATTGGAGCTAATGACACTGTTAATTCAGCAGCTCAAGAAGATCCCAACTCTATTATTGCAGGCATGCCAGTCCTTGAGGTCTGGAAATCAAAGCAGGTAAAGTTTCAGACTTGTATTTCATTCTGATAACCAAAGGTCACTTAAAATATACACACAGAAATTTCTTTGATCATTTGATAAGAAATGATGATGCCTTCTAGGAGGCCCAAGAGTAAGAGCATGTTTAGGCCCCAGTTTCCTGTATCCAGCTTCTGTCTGTTCTCTGGCCACCAGAGAACGTAAATGAATGCCCTCATCACAAGTAGAACCAGATGAGATTATGTGGGTGGATTAAGAAAATCTGTAACCACAGCTGAAAAAAGAGCTGTGAGCTTTTGGAATGAGTCTGGCTAAATTCCAGATCGAGTCCCATGAAGCAGATGGCTTCCCTCTGGGACAGTGAGTCAGTATCATTGCCTTCATATACCAAGATGAGCATATTTTTTTTCGTTTAACTTTTTTGAAAGGGAATTTATTAGTTGTTGTAGATTATCTAGCAGAAAGGTGATTTAGAAATCCAAACCATAACGTGGCATAAGGAAGCAAGCTTCGCTCATGCATATTATTTCTGAAAAAGCTGATTGCTAGATTTTAGATAACTCAGAGGCTTGTAAATTTTCCTCTGCCTCAGCAGTAGGCATATTTTACTACTCCTGAGTCACATCTGCATTTAAAAAATCCTAATAACATAATGTACATTTCCATTTAATTTTGTTTCTTTTTATTGTAAATATGGGAGTTTAAAACAGTATTTGTGATGAGTGAGTAGATATAAAATGTACTTGTTCATGTGTGTATGAAAAACTATTGTGTCATAGTCAATATTTCAGAGGTTGCAAAGTACATTACTGTACTAATGCTATAAGAAAAAGAATACATTTGCACTTCTTCCATTTTTGGATAGATAACATGTCCTACTAGACCATAGAAAGGCTTTTCATTTCATTGAAAACTGACTTGATATTCAGCAGGACAGCAACATCCAAAACATGTCATTGTAAATATCTATAACACATCAATATTATAGATTGACTTACTTCTTCCATTTTGATTTGTAGGAACATTCTGTTAGTTATTAGCTCTGTCCTTGTGAGAAGCTGGATTGCTCTTTGAGGTTTTGTCCTAGCACTTTCTGATATACTTTGAAGTCATAGAAAAGAATAACACAATTTTCTCACTCAACCACATCTGTTTTAGAATTTGTAGTGGAAACTTATGTACTAAACTAATTTTCTTTAGCACATTCATATTAAGATGCTTATTTTGCTGGCTAGAAAATGGTATACATGGTCTTTATAGATAAAAGCATTAAGAAGAAAATCATTGTAATCTTATCACTCAGAGATGAATTATTAACATGACTTTTTCTCTAATGGATGTAAGAATATAGGTACATTTAAATATTAAAATTAACACAATGCAAACATTAATTAAAAATACTTTTTGTGTATTTTTAAAGTACCTGTACTAAAGAATTAGTAGTGGTACATACCTTGTTCAAAGGTAGTGAAGAGCAATGTTTGTGTGCCTAACAGGTCCTAGGCAGGTCTGTTAAATGCTCTCTCTCATTTAATCTTTGGTTCTCAGGTGATTGTTATGAAGAGGTCTTTGGGTGTTGGCTATGCTGCAGTGGACAATCCAATTTTCTACAAACCTAACACGGCCATGCTTCTAGGTGATGCCAAGAAAACATGTGACGCACTCCAGGCGAAAGTTAGAGAATCCTATCAGAAGTAAATATTAAAGATCAAGCTGTTGGCTAGTAAAGCCACCTCTAAGTTGTGGGAACAGTCAAATAAAGTATCAGTATACATGGTGATATACATCTATAGCAAAGCTCTTGGAAGAAAAGGAAGACTGAAGAAAGCAAAGCAAATACTGTATAGAGAGATTTTTCAAGACCAGTAATCCCTCAGTTTTAAAAAAAGGATTAAAAATTCTAAATGTCTTTCTGTGCATATTTTTTTGTGTTAGGAATCAAAAGTGTTTTATAAGAGAAGGAAGAACAGCCTCATTTTAAATGTAATTCTGTTGGATTTTTTATGCCTCCTCAGTAACCAGAAATGTTTTAAGAAACTAAGTGTTTAGGATTTCATGGCTTACATTATACATGGATCTGAAATATCTGACACAATGTAAACATTGCAAGCAACTGCATTTTTTTTTCTTCCAACAAATGTGACTAATTTGAAACTTATATGAACTTCTGAGCTCTTCCCTTGCAATTTAACCATAGTCTGAATTAACCATATCAAATTGGTTTTAATTTTTTAAACTGTACTTCAGAGTCTATATTTCAAGGGCATATTTTCTCACTACTATTTTAATACATTGAAGGACTAAATAATCTTTCAGAGATGCTGGAAACAAATCATTTGCTTTATATGTTTCATTAGAACACCAATGAAACATACAACTTGAAAATTAGTGTTAGTTATATTTTTGAAAATTCCATTTCTAATTGGAGATCTCTTCAATTTCAATCAACTTATAATGTGTAGTACTGTATTAAGTGCACTTGAGTGGAATTCAACATTTGACTAATAAAATGAGTTCATCATGTTGGCAAGTGATGTAGCAATTATCTCTGGTGACAAAAGAGTAAAATCAATTATTTCTGCCTGCTATAAATATCAGGGGAAGACCTGCTACTATGAAATAGATGAAATTAATCTGTCTTCACTGTTTATAATAAGAATGGATTTTGTTTTCAAATCAGTGTGTGTTTTGAGGTCTTATGTAATTGATGACATTTGAGAGAAATGGTGGCTTTTTTTTTAGCTACCTCTTTGTTCATCTAAGCACCAGTAAAGATCATGTCTTTTTATAGAAGTCTAGATTTTCTTTGTGACTTTGCTACTGTGCCTAACGCTCTAAATATAGGTGAATGTGTGATGAATACTCAGGTTATTTGTCTCTGCATATAATTAATTTGGTACTAAGTTCCTCAAAAAATTATTAACACATGAAGGACAATCTCTTAAATCAGGAAAAGAAGTAGTACAAATTTTGTTACTGTAATGATCGTGTTTAGCGAGTTTAAAACACACAGTATCTGTTGGTTTTATAATCAATTTCTATTTTGCTGTGCCTGAGATTAAGATCTCTCTCTCTCTCTCTCTCTCTGTGTATGTGTGTGTGTTAAAGCAGAAAAGACTTCTTTTAAAGTTTTAAGTGATAAATGCAATTTGTTAATGGATCTTAGGTCACTAGTAATCTCAGGACTGAATTATATAATGAATATTCTATTAGGAGAAAGTAAACACCATCTTTATTCATGCCCTTTTCCTTCTCTCAAAGTAGTTGTAGCTATATCTAGAAAGAAGCAATTTTGATATCTTGAAAAGGCAGTTCCTACATTCAGTTTGAACTATTTATTAATTTATTTTTTGTCATAGAAAACTTTTTAATGCATTTTTAAAAATTTAGTATGATCTTATTCTTTGCTGTTTGCCAGTCCTTGTCATCAATTGTGTTAATTGAATTGAAAATCCCTGCTCTGTTGGTTTTATTTTACTTTATTGGTTAGGATATTTAAAGGATTTTTGTATGTATAATTTCTTTTTTTTCCTTTTTTTTATTGCATTTTAGGTTTTGGGGTACATGTGAAGAACATGCATGATTGTTGCATAGGTACACACATGGCAGTATGATGTGCTGCCTTCCTCCCCATCACCTATACTGGCATTTCTCCCCATGCTATCTCTCCCCAACTCCCCACCCTCCACTGTCCCTCCTCTGTTTACCCCCTGCAGACCCCAGTGTGTGATGCTCCCCTCCCTGTGTCCATGTGTTCTCATTGTTCAACACCCACCTATGAGTGAGAACATACGGTGTTTGATTTTCTGTTCTTGTGTCAGTTTGCTGAGAATGATGGTTTCCAGATTCATTCATGTCCCTACAAAGGACACGAACTCATTGTTTTTGATAGTTGCATAGTATTCCATGGTGTATATGTGCCACATTTTCCCTGTCCAGTCTATCACTGATGGGCATTTGGGTTGGTTCCAGGTCTTTGCTATTGTAAACAGTGCTGCAATGAATATTCATGTGTATGTGTCCTTATAGTAGAACAGTTTATAATCCTTTGGATATATACCCAGTAATGGGATTGCTGGGTCAAGAGGAATTTCTATTTCTAGGTCCTTGAGGAATCGCCACACTGTCTTCCACAATGGTTGAACTAATTTACACTCCCACCAACAGTGTAAAAGTGTTCCCATTTCTCCACATCCTCTCCAGCATCTGTTGTCTCAAGATTTTTTAATGATCACCATTCTAACTGGCGTGAGATGGCATCTCCCTGTAGCTTTGATTTGTTTTTCCCTAATGACTGATGATGATGAACTTTTTTCACGTTTCTTGGCTTCATATATGTCTTCTTTTGAAAAGTGTCTGTTCATGTCCTTTGCCCACTTTTGAATGGGTTTGTTTGTTTTTTTCTTGTAAATCTGTTTTAGTTCGTTGTAGATTCTGGATATTAGTCCTTTGTCAGATGGGTAGACTGCAAAAATTTTTTCCCATTCTATTGGTTGCCAATTCACTCTGATGACTGTTTCTTTAGCTGTGCAGAAGCTGGGGAGTTTGATTAGGTCCCATTTGTCTATTTTGGCTTTTGTTGCCAGTGCTTTTGGTGTTTTATTAATGAAGTCCTTGCCAATGCCTATGTACTGAATGGTTTTGCCTAGGTTTTCTTCTAGGGTTTTTATGGTGTTAGGTGTTATGTCTAAGTCTTTAATCCATCTGGAGATAATTTTAGTGTAAGGTGTCAGGAAGGGGTCCAGTTTCTGCTTTCAGCACATGGGTAGCCAGTTTTCCCAACACCATTTATTGAACAGGGACTCCTTTCCCCATGGCTTGTTTTTGTCAGGTTTGTCAAAGATCAGATGGTTGTAGATATGTTGTGTTGCCTCTGAGGCCTCTGTTCTGTTCCATTGGTCTATATCTCTGTTTTGGTACCAGTACCATGCTGTTTTGATTACTGTAGCCTTGTAGTATAGTTTGAAGTTTGGTAGTGTGATGCCTCCTCGTCCTTTTTGCTTAGAATTGACTTGGCTATGCGGGCTCTCTTTTGGTTCCATATGAAGTTTAAGGTGTTTTTTTTCCAGTTCTGTGAAGAAGGTCATTGGTAGCTTGATGGGGATAGCATTGAATCTGTAAATTACTTTGGGTAGTATGGCCATTTTCACGATATTGATTCTTCCTAACCATGAACATGGAATGTTTCTCCATCTGTTTGTGTCCTCTCTTATTTCGTTCAGCAGTGATTTGTAGTTCTCCTTGAAGAGGTCCTTTACATCCTTTGTTAGTTGTATTCCCTGGTATTTTATTCTCTTTGTAGCAATAGTGAATGGCAGTTCGTTCTTGATTTGGCTCTCTTTAAGTCTGTTATTGGTGTATAGGGATGCTTGTGATTTTTGCACATTGATTTTGTATCCTGAGACTTTGCTGAAGTTGCTTATCAGTTTCAGGAGATTTTGGGCTGAGACAACGGGGTCTTCTAGATATACAATCATGTCATCTGCAAATAGAGACCATCTGACTTCCTCCTTTCCTATTTGAATACGCTTTATTTCTTTTTCTTGCTTGATTGCTGTGGCTAGAACTTCCAATACTATATTGTATAGGAGTGGTGAGAGAGTGCATCCTTGTCTAGTGCCAGATTTCAAAGGGAATGCTTCCAGTTTTTGCCGATTCAGTATGATATTGGCTGTGGGTTTTTCATAAATAGCTTTTATTATTTTGAGATACATTCCATCAATATCTAGTTTATTGAGGGTTTTAGCATAAAGGGCTGTTGAATTTTGTCAGGGGGCTTCTCCGCATCAATTGAGATGATCATGTGGTTTTTGTCCTTGGTTCTGTTTATGTGGTGGATTACGTTTACAGAATCGCATGTGTTGAACCAGTCTTGCATCCCCAGGATGAATTCTACTTGATCATGGTGGATAAGCTTTTTGATATGCTGCTGCAATCGGTTTGACAGTATTTTATTGAAGATTTTTGCATCTATGTTCATCATGGATATTGGCCTGCAGTTTTCTTTTCTTGTTGAGTCTCTGCCGGGTTTTGGTATCAGGATGATGTTGGTCTCATAAAATGATTTGGGAAGGATTCCCTCTTTTTAGATTGGAATAGTTTCAGAAGGAATAGTACCAGCTCCTCTTTGTATGTCTGGTAGAATTCAGCTGTGAACCTGACTGGACCTGGGCTTTTTTTGGGTGGTAGGCTCTTAATTGCTGCCTCAACTTCAGATCTTGTTATTGGTCTATTCAGGGTTTCAGCTTCTTTCTGGTTTAGGCTTGGGAGGATGCAGGTGTCCGGGAATTTATCCATTTCTTCCAGGTTTATTAGTTTATCTGCATAGAGATGTTTGTAATAATGTCTGCTGATGGTTTGTATTTCTGTGGAATCTGTGGTGATATCCCCTTTATTGTTTTTTATTGCATCTATTTGATTATTTTCTCTTTTCTTTTTTATTAATCTGACTAGTGGCCTGTCTATTTTGTTTATCTTTTTGAAAACCAGCGCCTGGATTTATTGATTTTTTGAAGGTTTTTTTTTTTTGTGTGTGTGTCTCTATCTCCTTCAGTTCTTCTCTGATTTTAGTTATTTCTTGTCTTCTGCTAGGTTTTGAGTTTTTTTGATCTTGCTCCTCTAGCTCTTTCAATTTTGACGATATGGTGTCAATTTTGGATCTTTCCTTGCTTCCCATGTGGGTATGTATTGCTATGTATTTTCCTCTAGACACTGCTTTAAATGTGTCGCAGAGATTCTGGTATGTTGTGTCTTCATTCTCGTTGGTTTCAAAGAACATCTTTATTCCTGCCTTCATTTCATTGTTTATCCAGTCAACATTCAAGAGCCAGTTGTTCAGTTTCCATGAAGCTGTGCGGTTCTGAGTTAGTTTCTCAATTCTGAGTTGAACTTGATTGCATTGTGGTCTGCGAGACTGTTTGTTATGATTTCCATTCTTTTGCATTTGCTAAGGAGTGATTTACTACCAATTATGTGGTCAATTTTACAGTAGGTGTGATGTGGTGCACAGAAGAGTGTATATTCTATGGATTTGCCGTGGAGAGTTCTGTAAATGTCTATTAGGTTTGCTGGTTCCAGGTCTGAGTTCAAGTCCTGGATTTCCTTGTTAATTTTCTATCTGGTTGATCTGTCTAATATTGACAATGGGGTGTTAAAGTCTCCCACTATTATTGTGTGGGAGTCTAAGTCTCTTTGTAAGTCCTTTTTGATATCTTTTGATCTTTGTTAGTTTAAAGTCTATTTTATCAGAGATGAGAATTGCAACTCCTGCTTTTTTTTTGCTCTCCATTTGCTTGGTAAATCTTCCCCCATCCCTTTTTTTGAGCCCCTGTGTATCCTTGCATGTGAGATGGGTTTCCTGGATACAGCACACTGATGGGTTTTGGCTTTTTATCCAATTCATCAGTCTGTGTCTTTTGATTTGGGGCATTTAGCCCATTTACATTTAGGGATAATATTGTTATGTGTGAATTTGATCCTGCCATTTTGATGCTAGCTGGCTGTTTTGCCCGTTAGTTGATGCAGTTTCTTCATTGTGTTGATGCTCTTTATCATTTGGTATGTGTTTTTGGAGTGGCTGGTACTGGTTGTTCCTTTCTATGTTTAGTGCCTCTTTCAGGAGCTGTTGTAAAGCAGGCCTGGTGGTGATGAAATCTCTGAGTACTTGCTTGTTTGCAAAGGATTTTATTTCTCCTTTGCTTATGAAGCTTAGTTTGGCTGAATATGAAATTCTGGGTTAAAAGTTCTTTTCTTCAAGATGTTGAATATTGGCCCCCACTCTCTTCTGGCTTGTAGGGTTTCTGCTGAGAGATCTGCTGTGAGTCTGATGGGCTTCTCTTTGTGGGTAACCTGACCTTTCTG